ACCCTAGCAGGCTCCGGTTTGCTGCTGTAACCTCACGATTAACTCTGCTTGTTCATTCATAACCGTGGCCTGCTGTTTGGCGAACTTTGCCTGTCTGACAGCATCCTGCTGCATTACTTTCATGTTTTCTTGGAGTTGGCGCACCATCTCCTCTAAACTAGCCATACTGTTCTGTTCTGACTGAATTATCGGTATATGTTCCCTCTCTGTGGGTGAAACAGAACCCTGATCCCTACTGTACACAGGTGGGGTAGATAAAGCCCTCTGTACTGACTGTTGAACTGATGCTCTCTGCCTAGCTGTCCTCCGTCTAGTAACCAGGGGTAGAGAGTGGTACACTGGTTGTCCGTCTACCAGATCCTCAGATCGATGGAGCCGACGACCTCTAATCCAGATAAGTGATAAATAACCAACCGGACTGTTTTCAAACATCTAAGCAATTGGACAGCATAACGGCTTAAAATAAACACATATAACGCGCAGTTGGGTATTCATAATACACAGTTGGTAAGCCGAACACACTGTTCCTCGATACTGATCATTGTTCTCAAATCACTGTTCCCAAAACTGAACTTGATATCCGCAGAGAACCGATTCCTCAACAACACTGATATTGGTGCCCTCGGGCCTAATACTCAATCTTGCAAACTGGTATGTACGTTCCTGTAGAGAAAACACTCTAAAGCACATAGCAGATAAGTGAGAGCCAAAACACCCCTATGTTGGGCTAGGGTTTCCCTGTCCTATTTTGTCAGGAGCTAAGGTTCCACTATGCATGCAGTAGTTTCAAATAACTTAGCATCGGGTAAGCAACCTGTCTTAGTTTGGAATGGTCACTATAGGTTCCGAATATGCACTAGGTCGAATGGTCAAAAAGGGTGCCCTAGTAAAAATCGGGGTTTGTTTTCCCATACTGTCAGAGCCCATAACCGGTCAGCCTTATGGTCATGGCTTGAAAAGACAAGCCTTCGGCAAACCGTTCAGGAATGGCAGATGGCAAACACGGTGTCCTAGGCGCACCAATGCACATGCAATGCAAAGAGACACATAAATGAAATCAAAAAAGGATATCACGAGTTCGAGTCAAGCTCTCTAAAATCCCCAGCAGAGTCGCCAGAAACTGTAGCACGCGCCCGCGAGGGACCCCGCGCTACACGCTATAGTTCGGACTCGATTTGTGTCACGGTTTTTAATCTGAACCAAAGAGTCCAAATCTGGCAAATCGTTTTGAGAAAACAGATTTTTAGAAAAAGAAGTGCCAAACATGGACTGCTTTGCCAGATACAGAGTCGCCACCTAAATATTTTTTAAGGGGGAATTTAGGAAACCCTGACTCGGTGCCAAAGGCCACGTACCCGTCATCACCAAAGTTGCCTCGGTTCGGGAGCTAGGGTACAATTGGGGAAGGTCAGCTATGAGCACCCCCTCTCGCCCGATCCAAAGATCGGCCTCTACTAACCGTGATATCCGTTTTTGAAAACGTTATGTGTTCTTATTCCATTTATTAGCCTAGAATTACTATGTTATGCGCGAAGCAAACAAGTATAGACCAAATCGCCTAAATTGGAACAAAACATTGCATGTTCGTTTTGAAGATGGTTTGCTACTCGCAAGTAGGCTACAATGCAGGTTTTGCCACCCTCGAGTGGGCTTTTAGAAAAAATGGTTTTGCCACTATCTAGTGGGCTTAAAACTCACAGTTTTTAATGCATTATTCCAATTTAGGCAATTCAACCTCCATCCACAGGCATTCAAGTAGTAATATCATGTAAACATATAGCCGCCTGGCAAGCATACTGTCATATTAACATTCACACTCATGCGAGATGCTAAAGCATAAAA